CACCCGCCTCGGCCTCCCAAAGTGCTGGGATTATAGGCTTGAGCCACCGCGCCCGGCCAAATTTTTGTGTTTTTAGCAGAGACAGGATTTCACCATGTTGGCCAAGCTGATCTTGAACTCCTGACCTTATGTGATTTGTCTGCCTCGGCCTCCCAAAGTGCTGAGATTACAGGCTTGAGCCACTGCATCCGGCTTATTTAATTCTTTTTACTAAAGTTTAAGTAACTTTTCTAAAAAGTGCTATGTCAGTGTCCACAGGAATGTCTTTAAATTATGAGTTGGAGGAATTAGGTCCAGTCATCTGTGTGGATTCATTAATATCATTTTGGTCTGAGCATCGAACCAATAGGAGACCGAATTCTGGTCCTAGGTCTTCCTATTAGTACAATTTAAGGTGTACTGCTGTTATTGTACAATTTAAGATGCAGCTTATGTTAATTGATGATTTATCATTATTCTCTTTTATATCTATAAAATTAGTTAATTCCCTGCCAAATAGATAGAAATATTGAAATAATTAATGAAGATATTCATAAAATGATTTTAACTTCTTAGAAGGAAAGAAGTTAAATAATATTATCATCATATATGTCAATATATATTATATATAACATACATAGCATATATTATATATTACTTATCTATAATACATATTGTGTATATTATATATTATATGTATATCACTATACTTCTTTCTAATTTTTTTTGTAAATTTTCTTCTACTTGGGTGTCTATATAAATATTTCTTTTAATTCTTATGGAAGAAATCATTGAGCATCTTCATTTAAAATGGCATATGGGACCTAGTTAAGAGGAAAAAATTTTCTGTTTATAAAAATAGTAAATCTTTAAAAAGAATAATTTTATTTCTAAAAAATATTTAATATTTAATTTTTTAAAAGAATATTTAATTTTTAAAATATTTAAAATAATTTTTAAAAGAATGTTTTAAAAATTTTGGATTTAGGAGGTACATATGCAGATTTATTACATGGATATATTGTGTAATGCTGGGATTTGGGCTTCTATTGAACCCATCGCCCAAATAGTGAACATAGTACTGAGTAGGTAGATTTTCAACCCATTCCTTTCCCTTCCTGCTATCCCTGCCTGCTTTTGGAGTCCCGAGGATCTATTGTTTTATCTTTATGTCCATGTATATATCCACTGTTCAGTTCCCACATGTAAGTGAGAACAAGCGATATTTGATTTTCTGTTTTTGCATTAACTCACTTAGGATAATGGCTTCCAGCTGCATCCATCTTGCTGCAAAGGACATGATTACATTCTTAAATAAAGAGAATCTACTAAACATCTAAATATCTTAAAAGCAATGAGTTAAGAATAGGAGAGTTTATTGAGAGAACACTGTTGCATTAAACAACTATAATTTTTGAAGATTACAAATTTTACATTTTAAAAGGTATTTTTGAAACACATTTTTTTAAAAGTTTGCCTTCACATATATATTTATTTATTTCATATTTTTAGTAGTCTGAAAATTGTTATGTGCCTTGGATCTGGACAGTTTGCAGATCTACTGATTTCTGTCTAGACATCCTAGAAAAATAAGAAGGCTCCAAGAGACAATAACAAATAATCATATGACCCTTCTACTTTAACAGATACAGAGATGCATTTCCTTTCTATAGTTGAGTACTAAGTTGAACAAAGTTGACTTAGGTACAGTTTTTTTCTTATTGCTATATGGTAGTCCCCACTTATTTATGGAAATACGTTCTAATACCTCCAATGGATGCCTGAAACCACAGATAGTATTGAACCATATATATATTTCTATATTTTCAGTCTGATAAACAAGGTGGCTACTTAGTGACTAATGGGCAGGCAGCATATACACTGTGGATACAAAGGGATGATTCATGTCCGAGATGGAGTAGGGTAGTGCAAGATTTTATCATGCTACCCAGAAAGGCATGCAATTTAAAATTTATGAATTATTGATTTCTGGAATTTTTCATTTAATATTTTGTACTGTGGTTGACTATGGGTAACTGAAGCCATGGGAAGCAAAACCACAGATAGAGGGTTTGTAATATTATTGTATTTAATAATTATACTTTCACTTAAAAATGAGAGTCAAAGGGAAAATAGGTGACTTATAAAATTATGAAGGTTGACCTATTTGGTCCATTACCTGCAGTGAGAAAAGTGATTTGAATTCTTTGGGGAGATACTGAGTATCTTTGGTGCCCAAAGGAGGCTCTAAAATACTGTTTCCTCGGTGCTGTTGTCACTTCTAACCTCTGTCAAATGATATGGCAAGAACTTTCGTCCTTGGGTGTTCAGTGAGCTGTTGCTTGGGATAGGATTCCCTTTTACCAGCTTTTATTACCTCTCTCATATACAGGAAGAGAGAAGATGAGAAGGAGCTACAAAATCTGAATAAAGACCTCTGGCAGTATAGTTTGTAACACTGTACCCCATCCAGTTCTGGAAATGCCATATTTCACGGTCTGAGAACAGGAAATAAATTTGATGTATATTATCTAAAACTATATAACATTGGAGTCCACAGGGAGCATGTCTGAAGCAGCTCCATAGGTTGAAAACTGTTGATGGGGTGGCCTACATATTTTTAGATTTAAGTGGCGTTTACGCATTAACTAAAGCAGTTTTTTTTAAAAAAAGAAAAGCTTTCAAAATATGTTATCCTTTGTACTTGAAGTCCTGGCTGTAAGGATTGAAAAATTAGAAAGAACCCTAAATATATTGAGTAAGTTTGACAAATATGTGGAGATTGTGTTGCAGCTAATATTGCTGATCCTAGAACACCAATAAATGATGCTTTCTTAGTATCGCCTTTGGACTCATATTGATTTCTGAGAGTTATATTTTTAAAACCTTAATCTAGAGCTATGGAAAGCCATGCAAGTAGGAGTTTACTGTGATATTGGTCTTCATCTTACTTGAAGCAGTAAGAGATATATTCCTTATACCTCTTAGAAAGTAGCTGTAGCAGCTGGGCACTGTGGCTCACACCTGTAATCCCAGCACTTTGGGAGGCCGAGGTGGACAGATCACCTGAGGCCAGGAGTTTGAGACCAGCCTGTTCAACATGGTGAAACCCCATCTCTACTAAAAATACAAAAATTAGCCAGGCTTGGTGGCAAGCTGAGATCGTGCCGCTGCACACCAGTCTGGGCTACAGAGTGAGACTCCATCTCAGAAAAAAAAAAAAAAGAAAAAGAAAAGAAAAGAAAGAAAGAAGGTACAGGCTGTGCGCAGTGGCTCATGCCTGTAATCACAACACTTTGGGAGACCAACGTGGGAGGATCCCTTGAGCTTGTTCAAGACCAGCCTGGACAACATGATGGAACCCCATCTCTACAAAGTACCAAAAAATTAGCTGGGTGTGGTAGCACGTGCCTGTAGTCCCACCTACTTGGAAGGCTGAGGTGGGAGGATTGCTTGAGCCCAGGAGGTAGGGGTTGCATTGAACTGAGATTATGCCAGTGCACTCCAGCCTGGGTGACAGAGCAAGACCCTGTCTTAAAAAAAAAAAAAAAAAAAAGGTATCTATAAAACGTTTCTTCCTTGACAGATGACGGATTTTGAACGTAGACTTTGCTAGGCTTTGAAGTATTTGAGCCACCAACCTTTGTCCATCCAAACAGAAGCTGTTTGCCTTTGATTACCTAACCCACTCAAGTGCTGTTTTCTGTTGTTTGGGAAATAGTCTGCTGCCTTCTGTAGTGTGGGAAATAGTTTCCAAGACTAGGTTTATACACATATACATACACTTGCATATATATGTATATGAGAGCCGTTATGTTTAACAGCTCTTAAATATATATTTAAGAGCTGTTATGTTTTTAGAAAATATATATGTATTGTATTTTAACTTTTTAAGTGTTCTGTCATGTAGAGATGTCAGATTGTGATTATCACAATAGAAAGCTTATAGACATTGGAATTGATTGTAATTCATTGTTTGACAATAGTTTTACCTTTCTTAAGCTTTTCATTAAAATTTGCATTTCTTACCTTTTAAGTGACTACCAGTCAACTGTATGATCAGTCTGTATTTTACTGTACTTTTTGATGTTATGCATAGTTTTACATTATTTTTAATTTCTCTTCTTTAAATAGACTCTGGAACTTCTTTACAGAATTACTAATGCGCAGAATGTAACAGTTATTGTCCAGAAAATGCTTGAATATTTACATCAGAGCAAAGAAGAGTATGTCATCGTCAATTTGGTTGGCAAAATAGCTGAGCTGGCTGAGAAATATCCTTTATTTGGACCATGAGTCTTAAAATATTTACACAGTGACTTCAAGATGATTGGTGTAGGTATGGTGACTTGCAAGTTGAGTTCAGACACTCGGCAATAATTTTATTCCTGATTTTCAAGTGTCTCTTGTTACAAAAAGGAATTTGTGTAGACTTCTTAGGTGATGGCTTTTCCCCCTGGTTTCTGTTATTCATATAGTCAGTATTTTGGGCAGGAAGAGAGAAACTTTATCCTCTTTATTCCTCTTTAAGTCCTGCTTTGTTTCTACTTCTACCTTGATTTCTGAGTAAAAGTTCTTGCTTTTGGAGGAAAGTGGAGGGTGTGTGGGAGTGGTCAGAATGCTAAAACTTATACTTTATTGTTTTATACTGGAAATTGTCCAATTAAATAGTTTGGAACTCCATTAACATGTTAGTCTTCTTCATATTTGTTTCTTAAAAGTCAGAAGAATTTTACAGGTCATAAGGATATTCCATTCTTTTAGACATGTTATTGTATAATTTTAAAAAATAGTGAGTGGATACTGTTAATCAAATTATATTGGAAATTGCGTTAAGTATAGTTTTGTCTTAATCAGTGCTGTAATTCTGGCCAGCAGAATGATAGAACTTTAAAACTGATGGGGAACAGATTAGAAAAGAGGCTAAACAACTTGTTCAAGTAGACATACCACAATATTTAGCTTCTTTTAAGTGTATATAATTTTCTGTTATTTGTATCTAGTTAGCTGGTTTCTTACAGTTATTTCACATTTATTTATTGGATGACTATTTTGTGCAAGTATGGCGCTAAAGTGGCATAAACTCAGTTTATTAAGTTTATTAAGTAAGCTTTTACTGAGCACTTTACATAAAACTGGAGTATAGAAAAATTTATGGCAGAGGTTAAAGATAAAAGTGCCATACTAGGATGAATTGGAATTATTTTTTAAAAGGTTGCTACAGAAGCGTAATTTTTAATAGGTAGCATTTGGAAGTGTACTTGTTCTTAACACTGTGGACACATATGCTCCTGATAATGCATGGTTTATTCAGACAATGAATGCTGTGTTTTCAGTAGGAGGAGATGTAATGCATCCTGATATTCCTAATAACTTTCTGAGACTACTAGCAGAAGGTTGGTAGACTATTACATTCTCTAAAGTAAACATTTTAAAGTTAAATGTTTTTATTACAGAGTAGAGAAGTTAGTGGAAATTAAAATGGTGTATCAATTTCTTTGTAGGTTTTGATGATGAAACAGAAGATCAGCAGTTAAGACTCTATGCAGTTCAGTCTTATCTCACTTTACTGGATGTGGAAAATGTGTTCTATCCACAGAGATTTCTTCAAGTTATGAGTTGGGTGAGCAAAGTACATTAAACCATAAACTTTTTTAACATTTTTTCTACAAACCAAATGTTAACGTATTTCCTTCAGAAACTATTCACTGGGCCGGGTGCGGTGGCTCACGCCTGTATTCCTAGCACTTTGGGAGGCCAAGGTGGGTGAATCACAACGCAGGAGTTCAAGACCAGACTGGCCAACATGGTGAAACCCCCAGCTCTACTAAAAAAAAAAATACAAAAATTAGCTGGACATGGTGGCTTGTGCCCATAATCCTAGCTACTTGGGAGGCTGAGATAGGAGAATTGCTTGAACCGGGACCTGGGAGGCGGAGGTTGCAGTGAGCCAAGATCGTGCCGCTGCACCCCAGCCTGGGCTACAGAGCGAGACCCCATCTCAAAAAAAAAAAAAAGAAACTATTCACTTCTACTTAGCTAACTCCTTCAGCTGTCAGTTTTTCAAATGGCCTCCATCTGTCACTTAACTATTTATTTCTTCATTTTTTCTCTCTGCCATCTCACTTGTCTGGTTTTTTAAATATGGGTATTTACTTAATTTCTGTTTGTGTTTGCAATGTTTTTGTTGTGTTTTTTATGTGAGTCCATGTTTGAATATTTGAATACTCATTTATCTGTAATATATTAGTTTTATTTTTTAAAAATTATACAGTAAATTATTTTAAAGAGAAAGGGGTTCATCTTAAAGAAGCATTTTCAAGGTACCAGGCACAGTGCTGAATGCTTATATTATTAACTTTTGTTTTTCTTTTTCTTCTTTCTTTTATTTTTTAAGTCTAGGGTACATGTGCAGGATGTGCAGGTTTGTTACCTAGGTAAACATGTACCATGGTGGTTTGCTGCACCTATCAACACATCACCTAGGTATTAAGCCCGGCATGCGTTAGCTCTTTTTCATAAAGCTCTCCACCCTCACCACCCTCCTTGACAGGCCTTGGTATATGTTGTTCCCCTCCCTGTGCCCTGTGTTCTCATTGTTCAGCTCCCACTTATGAGAACATGTGGTGTTTGGTTTTCTGTTCCTGTGTTAGTTTGCTGAGGATAATGGCTTACAGCTTCATCCATGTCCCTGTAAAGGACATGATCTTGATCCTTTTTATGCCTGCACAGTATTCCATGGTATATGTATACATTTTCTTTATCCAATCTGTCATTGTTAGGCTCGTTTTCTTATGCTGCATAACAATGATACCACAAACTTAGTGGCTTAAGACAATACAAATTCGTTATCTCATGGTTTCTGTGGGTCAGGAGTCTAGGCATGGCTTAGCTGGGTTCTCTGCTTAGGGACTCACAGGGTTGCAATCAAAGTGTTGGCTGGGGCTGTTGTCTCACCTGAAGCTTGACTGGTAAAGAATCCGCTTTCAAGATCATGTGTGGTTTTTGGCTGAATTCATTTTCCTGTGGCTGAGTTTTTTTGACTGAGGGTTTCACTTTCATACTAATAACTGTAGGCTGTCCTTAGCTTCTAGAACTGCCTTCAGTTTCTTGCCATGTGGCCTCCCTACAGGGCTGCCTGCTTCATCAAAAGCCAATAGTGGAGATCAGTTCTTTTACAAGACAAAGATCACAATTTTATGTAATATAATCACATGTAATTGCGTACACCCCGTCACCTTTATGTATTCTTTCTCGTGCGTATAGGCGAGTGTTTCTTTAGGGGAGATTTAGAGAAGTGATATGGTATGCATATTATAATATTTTATAGTATTACCAAATGTTAGCAAGTTAGTTTAAATTTTATCCAGATTTTTTTACATAAAATTTTTTGTTTTCTCATTTGCAGAGAAGTTAAAAGACTAAGATAATAAATATGCCTTTAATTTAGCTTTTT